CTACATCACTTTTGTGTCCTCAGCTCCCTTGTCCTATGGGCCGAGTTGTGCAACTGCTACAGGCCGAGTAGTTTCCCCGCCAGTTCTAGCAGCTTAAAAGAGAATCATGGGCCCTCCCTGTTGGCGCCGCGGGTTAAAGCACAGCACTAAGAAGCTAAAGCCACTTCCGCATGAGTTCGATCCCTGCCTCGGAGGAGATCCACATGGCCCAGCAGACCTCTCCTGACCCGCCCACTGCTCCCCTCAGCAGTGTACTTCGTCGATCTGCCTGCTCTGCTCCCCACTCTGTCCCTGGTGAATCCTCTCACTCTCTGGCCTGTACCCCAGTTCTGTATGCATAAATAAATAAATCTTTAAAAAAAAAAAAGGAGAGAGAGAATCTTGGCGCCCTCAGCAGTATCTTCACAACTTTTCAGTCGTGAATCGAGGGAATCGAGGACGCGGCAGGAAGGCGTCATCTTAACCCACTGCCCCCACTCCCCAGCGTGACGCCGCCCTTTTATCGCCTCCCACCTAGGCCCACGAGTGCGCACCTGCACATGCGCACACGCGTACTTCCTGGGCCCACGTGCCCGTCATCAGGGAGGCGTGCAAGATGCAGGTGCGGGTCATGGAGGCTAGGGGGGGAGGGTGTAGAAAAGACCTGAGTAAGTCTTTTACCCTCCAGGCTGCACTTGACTTGGTTAGCCAGCTCTTCCTCCTGGCCACTCTCTTTGGGGGGTGCCTTGAGCCGGTGACTTTGAATATGACCCATATGCTGACAAGTTCCAGCTCAGTGTCTCCCCGAACTCACATCACACATCCTGCTGCTAGTTGGCGCCTTGGTGCCTGGCCAGTCGCTCAACAAACTGGGAAAATATATCTGCCACGCATATGCCAGACAACGGGCTAATTAGAGAACATGAGCTATATTATGTGAGGTATACAGACGGTGATCACAGGTCATTAAACGAAGGACCAACAGCCAGATTGAAAGCATGGGCATAGGACAGGAAGGTCCAGTTCAAAGAAAACGGAGACCATTTCTTCAAACAGGACACACACAAAGCTTGACAAGTCTGTGAGGCTGTGAGCGGTAGCTGGGAGCAGTATTTGCAAATGTGCCCGTTTCCTCCTTCTGGGCACTTATGAGACTGTGCACTCCCACTGTTGGGCTTAGGTGTGACCATGTGGCTTTCGAGAATGAAATGTGGGAGGAAGGAGTGTGGCATTTCTAGGCACTGCTTTCACTTTCCTTCTCCTGGGTAAGGGCAACGTTCCAAATGGAGCAGAGGCAGTGGGGGGTGGGGGTGGGGGGCAAAGCAGCAGTAAGCAGGTGTGAGAGACAAACAAGCTTTTGCCATTTTAAGCCCCTGCGATTTGGGGTTGTTTGCGACTTAAGCAGTGTCTAGTCTTTTCTGACGACTCCTGAAGCATTGCAAGCATTTGTATCAACAGAAACACCGGAGGACGAAACACTGGCAAGCCTTCTATGGAGAAATTCCTTTTCTAAGAACTTGTGAGACAGACATGTATGAGCAGAGAGGCGTGGACAGGGATGGGCACTGAGTTCTGTTAATAATAACTGAAGACAAAACCACCCATGTGTCCATCCAGAGGAGAATCAAACCTCACAGAATAGAATAGTTGGTAACCAGAATGCCAATGCACCCCTACAGTCTGAACCCCAAGAGTAAGCTGTCGTCTGAACATCTTACTAGAGTAAGAGGCTACAGCCACAGGAGGAAATAATAAAGATGTCCCTCCTCACCCCACCAATTTAAACAAAAAGTTGTAATAAATCATAATTAAGTCTATTAAATATTTTTAGAAAAATGCACTATCTTGGAAAATAACCAGTAAATGGGTATATCAGTGATCTAGGCTACTATAACAAATTACCATCACTGGGTGGCTTGAAACAACTAAAATGTATTCTCTTACAGCCCTGGAGTCCAGACAGCGAACACGCCGTGTATAAGGCCAGGTTTCCCTGCAGCCTGGTGGGGGAGAATCACTCCCTGCTTCTGGGGGCTCCTGGCTTTCTGGGTGCATCACTCTGTGCCTTAGATTTCCCCTCTTTCTCTTATACAAGTCCCTGGACTGAGATCACCTTAAAGTCATCAAAGCAGAATTCATCACAAGATTCTTAATTACACCTGCAGAGACCCTACCTCCAGATAAGGTCACGGACATAAGTATCGCAGGTTAGGATGCATCTTCAGGAGAGATGCTAATCATCTTGCCACAGGAGGGAACAGTGGGGACCTCTGGGAAGATGGGGGGTCAGGAGTGGAGGGATATAAACTTCTCACTATATATTCTTTTGAACATATAGAATGTTTTTCTGCAGTTTTTGTAAACTGAACACAAAGGGTGCCTTCCTCCCAAAAAGAGAGTGCATACTCTGAACATCAATATTCTTAAGTTGCCTTAATTTGCTGCAGGTGGCACCAGTGGCTGCAGTGGTTCAGGTTTCTTTCTTTTTTTAAAGGTTTATTTATTGATACATACAAGAGCCTGGGGTGCAGGCCAGAAGTGCTGGGGTGAGAGGATCCACCAGAGACAGAGTGGGGAGCATAACTGGCAGATGGAGTGAAATACACAGCTGAGGGGAGCAGTGGAGGAGCCAGGAGAGGTCTGCTGGGCCATGTGGGTCACCTCCCTAGCTGGGGATCGAAGCTGAGCTGCAGTGGCTGTGGATAGCTTTATAGTGCTGTGGCTTAACCCAATGCGCCATCAGGGAGGCCCAGTTCAGGTGTCTGAGGCTGGAGAATATGGAGCATAAATAGTGAATTTTATCTATTGGCTCAGGCTGAGTGGAAGTCAAGGGAGAGGAGGTTGTTTTGAGATAGGGCATTTTTACATGGGGGAAGACCTGGTGCTTTGGTGTGAAGGGAAGAATAATAGGAGATGAGGAATTTGGCGATAGGAGGCAGAGGGAAGGAGCAGAGGAGGAGACCTCTGAGGTGGCCAGACTGGGCTTGGGCAGAGGCGGGTGAGGCATGGAGAGAGGGGAAGGGTGGTGCCTTCTGCTCTGAAAGAAGGAGGAAAGAAGAAGGAAGGAAGACTGATCTTAGCTCAGAAAGCACTTGTGGGCAGGGAGGATCTAGAGAGGCTTCTGTTTTACCTGACCCCTGAACCCCTGGGGAGCAGGCCGGTAGTCAGCCAGCAGGGCTTGGGAACCATTCTGAGAAGAGGAAGGAGCTGACAGCACTACTCCTGGCCATGTGCCTGCCTGTGTGCTTGGTGGTGGTGGCTGTAATCATGGCGAGACAAAAGCCCTGCCAAGGGGCAGGAGGCCCAGCTGGGGCCGGCCCCTTGAAGAGTGCAGTGGAGGGTGTGGGATGAGAAGCGACTGTCCGTCTGGTTCCATCTGTTGCAGGGCTCGAGCTGCCTGTGGGACTTCCTTGCCCCCCACCACCTCATCCACGCTCCCCTTTGCAGTCTGGGATCACATGCTCCTCTCTGCACCTGCTTCATCAGCCCTGGGTACACTTCAAGCACCCCTGGTAAGCGGGAAGTCCAGTGTACAGAAAAGAAACGTCAGGACAAGCTTGCTCTCACCTCCCATGGGCTATTCTTTGGAAGCTTTTGGCCAGCAAGCTGCCAAAGCTTGTTTGAAATGCAATTCCCTTTACAGGAGACAGGAGCAGCTGAACATCAGTTATCTCCCTTGGCCTGGGGGATGGTGGGTATTCTGTGGGCGAACGGAATAGCCTGGCTGAGCCTGCAGAGGTCACTGTCAGCGCACTGATTGCCACTCCATTCAATTAGCCCAAGGAACAAGGTGTTTGCAAATGTAGGTAGGTGCCCCTCCCTGACCCATGTTCAGAGCCAGTCATTTCACAGAATCCACTGCTCACAGGCAAAGTGGGAGCACAGGTCGCCTTTGTTTCTTTCCGCTTTGACCTTTCTGGGAATAGCACCTGGACTTAATGTGCACACATTATCTGCACCCTCAGGCTGCCCTTTCCGGAAGCACCCTCCTGCCTGGCACACAGCAGGTCTGTTTACCCAGCACAGGCCCATTTACATTCTTGGACTTGTGTGCAAAAGGATCTGAAAAATGAATCGATGACAACACCAAGCTTGTACCCACAGTGGAATTTTACCATGTTCCTACTGACATCGTTCTAGATTTGAAACACAATCTTTACAGAATAGATTCTTTGAGGTGCGTGTACCAGATGAATGCTGGCTGGAAACCAAAAGCAAGCAGTATCTTTGGGTAATGGCTAGCTGGTGAGTTGGCGTGCCCGGTGAACAAGAGGCCAGGGGTGCTGCCGAGTTTAGAAGGATGCCAAGCTAAGACCCTGGAAAGAATTCGGGTGGAGGCAGTGAGGAGTCGGTGGCATCCCAGAGGGGGTCCTTTGGGGGAGGAGGCTAGGGGTATGGCAACCCCAGAAACACTGGCAAGGTGGGCTGCATCAACATCAGAGCTGCATGCAGGGCTGAGCGCGCAGTGGACAGGAAGTGGTGACTCTGGAGGACGGGGCTTGCCTTCCAGCCCTACTAGGGCTGGAGATTTTTTCCCTCTCTCTGAGCACAACTTGCACGCTTTTGCGGTGGGCTAGACAGGAACTTGATCTTCCAGTTCAGGTGGTGGCAGTGGTGGTGGTGCTGGTGGCAGCACCGTTTCGTGAATGTTTAACCAGGCAGGATCATCCGATGAGACGCAGGTGGCGTGATCTGCCAACCCTGGGAGACACACACCTCCTCCCCCCAAGATTTCAGCCGCGGTGTCGAAGCCCAGGAGCTGGAGGAGAGTGCTCTAAGTCCAGGACCGGCCCCGGCCCGGAGGCGCTAGCCAGGCAGCTACCACCGGCGTGCGTCCTGGCAGCGCACCGAGGCCAGACTCGACGCCAGACCCGACGCCCCGCGCGCTGGTGCCCGAGCCCCCGCCGAGACCCAGCGTTCGCGCTAGCGCTGTGTCCCCGCGGAAAGGTACAAGACAAGGCCGGCCTGGACGGCTCACCAACCCCGAGATCTCCCCGCCAGGGAGGAAACTTCTCTCCGGAATGGGCGCAGGCAGTCCCAGGAGGCCGTCGTGGCTTCTGTCGCCGCCGCCGCCGCCGCCGCTGCTGCTGCTGCTGTTCTTGGGCCTCGCGGGCGCCGGCCGGCAAGTCGACAAAGTCGGCGACTACCAGGAGTCGGTGCTCGCCCTCGTGTCGGAGGCGGAGGCGGATGGCCGGGCTGACACGGCGGAGCCCTTGGCCACAGCCACCTTCCACCGCTGCGCCAAGGTGCGAGCGCCCGGGTGCTGGGCAAGGACGAGCCCAGCGCGCTCCTTCCTCTCGGATCTGTTTCTGCGGTGCAAGGGAGGGAAGCAACGAGGTCTCCCTGGGCCTTCTGCTCACCGGCGACCGACGGGATGGCCCGATGGCCGCGGATCTGGGGAAAGGCAGAGAGCAGGGGGATGCAAGCAAGTCACCCGACTGCTGAGCGGTGCAGCCCGGGCTCTCCCGCCTAGGTTCCAGGCCAGTTGTGATTCCCTGGCTGGGATGCGCAGAAGGAGTGAAAAGTCTGGGAAGTGCAGAGAATCAAACTGGGGACTGAGGAAATAGACCTGCTATTAATCAGCATCCCAACTTGGTTGGGGAAAATCTGGAGGATGGATGGTGGTGGTGGTGGTTGCGGGGGTGGGAGGGAGAGTGGGGGGTTCGTTGTGAGGGTGGGATGGGGTCTTGGAGAGAGATGGCACTGTCTTGGCAGGATGGGGTGGGAGAAATGGCAAATGACGCGTTCGAGGCAGTTTCTTCATGCTATAAGGCTCAGTCTGTATTGTGTCTTTTTCAACTGAAGGAAAGACCAGAATTAAAGGGGAAGGGACTGAGGTATTCTCCATGGCTCACCAGCTAGTGTGCCTGTGCCTGCGGCAGGCTCGGCGCCCTAGCCCAGGCTGGTGGGCTGGAGATAAGTGCCAGTCCCTGCAGCTAGTGGGGACTCCGTCCAGGGTGCAGACGTCCAGGGACTGGTCTGAGGTCTCACTGCACGGGCTGAGAATCAGGCCTGGGGTTGAATCCTGGCTCCAACACTCACTAGCAGTACTGGTGCTTGCAGGCACCTGACCTGAAGCCTCCATTTCCTTTTCTTTCAAAGAAAGGTGACCATCCTTGGGGGCAGGAGGTTCTGAAGGCTCAGCAGTGTAGATTCAAGAACAAAGGGAAAGGCTTTCTGTTGACATTGAGGGAAGGACCTCTTGACTAAGCCAGGGAAGAGGACACGGTAGGAGGCATACTTCCTCCGTTGTAGTGAGACCGATGGTGAAACCCTCTTTGCTCCACATGGCAGCTCTCAGAGCAGAGAGGCACGTTGTACTGAAATGGACACCTGGTGCTCACTCCCACTCCAGCCCCGCTGCTCATGAGCTGGAGGAGAAGGTGGCCAGGCTCTTAGCTCTGTGCCAGGTGCTGGCAGACAGTCTGGGAGAGGAGTGGACCCTCTCAGGAGTCTGGCTTTTGCTCAGCTCAAAGCTCCCTCTTCCTTATTCCTCAGCCTTGCTGGCTTGTGGTAGGAATGAGAAAGGGCATTTCAAGTCATATTGACCCAAAATAGCTGTTTGACAAGTAACGATTACTCTAGCCTGAGAGGTGACTAAGCAGAGGCTGGACAACTACCCGAACCAAGCACCTGCAGGTATTTCTTCCCCAATGAAAGTTTGGAATAGGAACCCCTGGAAGTCTTGTGTTCTTTCCATGGATATTTTGCCTGAGTGAATAAATGACTTAGTCACGAATGCATGGGTAAACTCAATGGAACTAAATTTAGGATGAATATATTGTCAGCAGGCAGAGAAGAATTTTAGACCAATCCTATACTTTTACACTTGAGAAATAGGAACCTCCTTTCCCTCCCCTCCCAAACAAATTAGGGGGACTCTTATTCCACTATATAGAGTGCCTTTACTAAATTCTCATTTAGCAGAGGGCATTTTTGATGGCTCTTTGAAATATATGTAAGTGTTCAACAAATGAAAGAGGCAGGGTAATATACCGGTTGAAGGGAGTAGCATGAATCAAGCACAGAGCTGGGAAAGCCAGAGGCAGAGAAGAGCACATACTTTCTGAAGTGTAACTATTCTAGAAGTCAGAGGTTTTTTGCAACTTATTTGGTGGTAACATGATCTGAACTGACATGAGCTTATTTATAACTCCATTCTGTTAATATTCATAATCCTGTAATCCATAAAGGATGATGGACTCTTTTCTACTCTGCCTGGGCTCTAAGGGCACATACAGAAGCAAGAGATGAGCAATGAGACTGCAGGGATTGGCCCAGGCAGGGACTAAGAAGGAAGTTTCTTGAATAGGTGCATCTGTTTGAGAAAAAGGTAAGTGTGAGGAATAGGTAAGAGCTAACTGAGACCAAAAAATCTGCTAATATAGACCAAGCTGCGTCTTTTCTCACCACTTGTTGCCTTTGCTGACCCATCATCCCTTCATCAGTTTACACAGCCCCAGGCTACGGCTCCCTTTTTTTGGCCTCCCAGCAGGTCTTTGGTCTCCTGATCCCTAAGATACAGAGGAGACAGCTGAGGCTCAGAGAGGTTGAGTGACTTGCCCAGGGCCACACAGATAATATAGGATCTGGGGTTTGTGCTGTCCCAAGAAAGGGCCTGAAGGCACTAGACTATGGAGGAAGTGATTTATTCTGATTGGAGGGGAGGGGTTGGAGAAGTAGGTGCAACTAGGAAGTTCTTGCGGGGTGCCCTTGGACAGGGCCCCAACGTTGGGCCCACAGAGTTAGGTGCAGGTCCAGAGTGGTATCTACTGTTGCATAAGGCCCACAGCTCCTTTGTGTGCCTGACTGCCAGATTGGAATGGATCGTACAATTTACATGCTAATAGTTGGCCTATGTGTGGTTTCTTGTTTCTTTTAGGTCTTATTTTGGTAAATTTTTAGTTTCTCTACTACATTAGGTTTCTTTTGCTGTAGGACTAGCTTGTAAGTAGAGGTGAATAGGGTTCAT